TTGTAGCGAATCTCGGTGGTAAAGTTTCGGCAAGCCCTTGCCCACAATCGAGCGTCCGGATGCTGGCCAGACCACGTGGTGCCACGCCAAGAAGCGCCTCGGCGGTCGCGCAAACGTCACCAGCGAACGATCCATCGGCTCGTTGCTGACTGCTTAACCATGCCAAAGCGGCCGATCTGTTCCAATTGTCGGCCGGCTCGTTCTCCGCTTCTTCGAGAGCTTGCATTACCAGCGCCGTTGTCCGAACATCTCCGAAACTGCCATCGAGTCTTTGCTGTTGCGCTAAACCAATCGATGGTTTACGCACGAAATGATGGAGATTTCGATGTCGGTGATCCTGAACGATGCACTTTAAGGCTAAGATCACCATCGCGACGGTATCTAGCAACGAGAAAGATGTGACGAGATGAACGAATTATAAAGAGATGAAAGAGATGAAAGAAAATTGCCTGAAATCCAAGACCATGGCCGGGAAGAAAAAAATCGTTGTAACTAATCGTCGTTTAATTATAATATTACGTTTCTTCGTTTCTTACGTTCTTTACGTAGCTACAGTTTCACAGCCGTACACCGTGGGGTACATGGCATAAGCTACTGCCATGGATGTAAAAGTGCCGTAGATATACTGGCGCGAGAATACGCGAGTACGCGATACGAGTAGATATAGAACACGGCATCGACAATACCAGCGACATCCGCGCGAGATAGATCGGAACAACAGAATCGATCGGAATATGGACGGATATCTCACCGACGTTGTGATCTTGAGCGGCGTTCGCGATGTCAAGCAGTCGACGTATCTGCCTTTTTCGCACGTGAGCTTGCGCGTTGCACGCAGCTAACGTGGTAAGAGCAAACTCATAATCGGTCGGTGGTTCGTGATGCTGAAGCGTTCCAATCAAATCGTGGCCGTGAAATTGCCTTGGATCCGTGCACATGGCATTTAAGGCAAGAGTGTAGCGCGCTAGGCGAACCGGAGAAAAGCCAACTTCTCTGTGCCTATGGAAAAACACGTGTTATTATATCTTCGACCGAATATAACGACGTTCCAATAAAGAATAAAGATTAAGCTACGATACTCTGTATCGTAATCGTTTGGTGAACGATTGGTTAAGTTGAACATTATACCATGTGATGTACATGTCGTACAAGTGTGTGCGTGCGTGCGTGCGTGCGTGCGTGCGTGCGTGCGTGTGTGGTACGTTGGCCATTGGATTGGTTGACAATCAATATAGCGAGGTTGTAGTAAATCTTGTAAGCTGAAGGTACTAGCGAAATTACTCGAACGTCGACGGTCGACGCCGATCTTGACGAAAGCAGCGACCAGCGAGGTTGCGCTCTTCTCGATATACCCAAGATTATTAGTCTGTTCTATTCGTTGATTCGAACGTGAACCTTTCGATCGTGAAGGTTACGAAAAATGGTTACGTCGAGTAGAGACGGTATTCTCACCGGTATTTATGTTAGTACGTCAAGACGATCAAGTCCAGTGTGAAAGCAACGGCTACGTAGCTAAACAGCTACACGTATAGCTACCTCCATAGAAGCAAAACAATTTCAAGTTCCATCTGTTTGCTGCTGAGTTGCAATTCGAGAGGAGCCGCGGGCGCAACGTTATCTTCTCGCGACAGATTGCCCAGTCGAAGAACTAGCAATACTCGATGAGTATCGTTCCCCCAACCGGCATCTTTGTTTCGTTGACTCCATAACCATGCAGTTGCTCGTTCAAAAATGTTTTCCCCGTCGGTGTCGCTCGAGGCAGAGTTGTCCGCGAGGCTTCCTGCAAAATGCGCAAAATTTCGTTGGTTGCTCTTGCTACATACGATGTACGTAATACTTGTAAATTCTACGTGTTGTAAATGTAACGTGTATGCTAACGTTTAATTAAATAACGAATGATTTAACGTGCAATTTATGTAATTAAACAATTCATTGATTTTCTTCAGAAATTTGAAAATTAGGTAAGTTTATTCTTAACTCTGAATTCTTCGTTGGGAATCTTATTGCGTTACATTCTCGTTACAGGGAAAAGGAAATTAATCGACAAATCAGACGAATCAGCGAATCAGAATCAAGTGGATCTAGAAGGATTAAAATTGAAAATTAAAATTAAAATTGAAATTGAAACCTTTGGCGTAGGCCACGTTCAACGTGCATAAACACGTTAGAAGGAAAACCATTACAGCTGCCATACTTGCTCTTCCCCACATTTTCGAACCAAGGATCGAACGATGTACGTACGTACGCACGCACGCACGCTCGTTGATATTATCTGCAAGACGATAAACGTTATCAGTTGATAAACTGCTTTCTTTCCTTCATATTTTTCATCTGATTTTATCCAAATTTTTAGCTATAGTTTTCATTTCGCTAAAAATGAATTTCATTTCTTACAATTCGTACAAGTATGAGACAACATGTGGATTGTGAGGTAGCTACGTGAACTTTTCCATAGAAAACTTTCACGTATCCAATTATTGCAATGCTATATCGTATCCTACTATATCGCATATACTTACTTATCGTACGCATATACGTGCTTATCAAATATTTCTCGAAATTTGAAATTAAAATTGTAACGAGATGCGACACAATTTCGTTACAATGCATGTGACAAATGTAGGGTATTTAATAAAACAATTAATGTATGATACCAATTAATATATGAATACCTGTTTTAAAGATACCCGAGATAGCCAAGTGTTAAATGCGATCCCACCGAATCGAGCAGCGTTCAAACGTTGTCGCGAAATATATACATCCTTGCAAGATACACTTGGCTAATAATATTTCCAATTCTAAATTCTCACTGTGATTGCAAGTCAGGTCCCGCAACTTCTATGCGCCAACACGGTCGTGATCGTGTCGAGTCTCGTTACGATGAGATCTGTGAAATATCAAAATATTTCATATGGATAGGCGCGTAATGCACCTATCCATAAAAATAAAAGGTTCCCACGATAGTAATGAAACACCTTCACGACGAGCCACTGTAGTGGCTTTCCTGCCCCATTTTCCTTTCCCCCATCTCCCAGTGGCCACTGAATATTCGATACATGTAATAATAATAATAATAATAATAATAATAATAATAATCTATCCTTTTCGCGGAAAGAATAGAATTGTTCAAGTATCTGAAATATATACCTATCGGATTCGTTTGATTTCAAAGTTCAGGGACACAGCGTGCGGGGCACTGTTAACCATTACTTTCAATCAACTGTCGTATTTATCTTGCGGGATCTTGAAGATCGTTCGTTCTTTCAGTAGAAATGCTCAGTCTCATGTACATACGAAGGCCGATGATTACAATAAGTGCACAAAGTTGACAAGTAATGGTCACGCTCTTCCACCGGCAAAAAAGACACTATCACCAACGCCGCCGCGCTCGCCACCACCTTCGCCACCGCCGCCGCCGCCACCACCACCACCACCGCCACCGTCACCACCACCACCACCACTACCACCTCGTGGCCACGTTCGACGTCGCTACGCCTACGCCCGCGCCCGCGGAAACACTACTAGGAACAACCGCGATATTGCGTGGGATCGATATCGCGGCACTCGCCGTCCCTCCAGCCATTGCACGTACGTACATTGTACATTGTACGTATGTATGTGCATGTACAGACGTTGTTACTCTCTTTAACTGTATGGGTAAATTGGTGTTCTCCTTTTCTCTGCCAGGGCCCTGTAGTTGCCCGTCTTTCTTTCGACTGTCGGCTGTGCCAGTGTCTCTCACCCTCGCCAATCTCTTCTCACCCTCTTCTCTGCCCTAGCTTCGCCTCCACCTCGAGTCTCATTTCGCCTCGCCTCATCTTTTATTCCTTTATTCCGATCGGCAATCGTTTTGTTATTTACTCGACGACGTACGACACGTCGCCTTAGCCACCCAAGTGCAAAGTTCAAGTCGCTCGACTGCGACAATTTTGGAGAACAAGTTCAACGTTCGTCTCGTTCGATTCCTTCGAAGAAGCATCTGGCACTGACGTTCTTTATTCTTTCGTTGGTTTTTGACAACCACTGCAAAAACTATCGACTGTCTGCCATCGATAAACGTTACACACACACACACACACACACACACACACACACAGAGCACATCTTTTTTACTCTGCGGTAATAGAGGCATCGCATAGTAAGTAAAGAGGTTCCTACTTGTAGGCCTAATAATCGTTTCATTTTTTATTCAATCATGTTTTTACTCTAAATTCTAAATAAAAAAGGAATCCTGCAAACGCTGGACTCGTTCGGCTGGATCTCTCTTTCATTTTCAGTTGTCCTTTTCCCTTTTCCACCGATTCATCCCCCTCCCCCTCCCTCCCAATTCGTTTGTCCATCTTCTCGTACAACGAAAAGAAAACTAAAAACTGTATTTCAAAATGTTATCAACGCTGGAATCGCTCAAGTATCGATTGAAAAGTCAATTGAAAAATTATCTGATGGAAATTTTATAGATTTGCCACTTGTAGAAATTTCACATTTTTAAAAGTTTGAATAATTTTACGTAAAATTATAGATCGAGCGGAATACGGTTAATGCGAAACGTCGAACCTAAACTAAGATAAAGATAGAAATGAAATAATAGCAAACACGGAAGAAGAGCCAGATAGAACGAGAACAAGAAAAGTGCAAATACATGCATAGATACTACGCAAGTATGCGTAAGATACTGCAAGATGAATGGTAGAATAAAAATAAAGATGTAACATGCAGCATGTAGGTACTACATATTGACGCGAGAATGCATTCGTAAATGTAAAACGTAAGTGTTATCTATCTCTCCGTTTACCCACCTATCGATAATTTCACGTAAAACGCATAAACGTATAAACGTATAAAAATTTTTGCCGTCTCCTTTCGCTTTCGTCTCTTTGACATTACTTTGAAATTCATCGCAATTCACTTGCAATTAGTCGTCGGTTTCGATTCTATAATAACGTTCAAGTATGAAATATTAAGTAAAAGATAAAAGAGAAACGAGAACGAGACAGACGTAGAGTAGAAGGAATAGATAGAAAAAAGAAAAAAGAAATTGGCAATTGCGTGGAATACGTACGTATTCCATTCTTTTTCTTTTTTCACTTTGCTGGAGGATGCGCAGCGCAGCGCAGCTCGATAAAAACCCAAAAGCACCTCGATAAAACACCGAAATTAAATGCACACTGCGCGTGTAACGTACGATTCACTTACCTGACACTTGGAACGGTGTTCCCCTGTTCGTGTGTCTGTGTGTTCGTGTGTTCGCACGCGCGCACTGAAATACAAAGTTATATATTTTCGAAATTCTAAGAAAGTACAAAGATTAAAACGTGCACCCCGCCTTCAGTTGTCCAAGTTGTATTCCATCGATGCGACTAACGCGGACAGCTACTGTCAAAAGCGATGCAGTGAGAACAACGCGTGGGTGTAAAGGGTGTAAAGGGCTTCAAGATCGCCCTCTCTCGCGCGTTATTGCGGCTCTCGGAGCAGCGCGCCACGTACGAGATTTGTACGAGATCACGCTACAAATGTAAAATAAAAGTAAAAATTCATGTCATTCGTGTCGTTGCAGTATTGAGAATATACTGAAGTATGTGCGAGCATATCTTCGAATATCTTACTCTCTAATTGTACTAGCTGTTCGAAATTGTACGAAACTGTTGTTGCCTGTACTATACTATCTGCTCTTCGAAAATGTTGCTGGAAATATGCAAAATGTAATATGACTTTAAGCCTTTAACCTAATTTAAGCTTTCTTCGAGATCTTGAGCGTAATATGTTGATAGATTCCGTTTCGCTTACGACTTACGACTTACGACTTACGAAATGCCTGAAAGATCAATAAACTCGACTGAAGAGATCCAATCATTCCAAAATATTCCAAAATATTCCAAAATGTTAATGCCTGTGTGTTTCATTCGTAACTGTCTTTTATTCGACTCGAATTGAAAGTGACGACTAACAGCTTTAATTAAAACCTTTTTCGTGTGAATAAATAGGGTGGGAATAAATCGCGTAGAAATGTAAAATTTATTAGATATGTTTCTCAATTTTTCAAATTTGTACGTGTACCGTGTGCGAGTCTGACGAATGAAGTTTCGTAAATCTTAAACGTGCGTAATAAAATCTATTATAAATGCAAGAGTAGGAGGATCTAACGACGAATTAGATTAGATAGGTTAGATCCAACTAGGGAGGATAAAAATCTAATAGAGAACGTGCGATGATAAATTTTCACGAATTAATCCTCCTCTTAGTTAGTTCTTTTTGCAAATAAAATTCAAGCGCCGCGTTTTAACGAAACGGTTGAGCTAGTCTATTTGCGCTACAAACTGAATTTTCGAGCTGCCCAGAAATAACATTAAAGTTTTCGTTCCAAGAAATTTTCGCTGTTTGTTATTTCGTAATGATCAATTATACGCAAATGGTGTAAGTGGTCTTCATTTTGACATGGTAGCATGGTAGCATCGTCAGCACCGATAAATCGAATTTTTATTTTATTTCCCGCTTCGAACGAATGAAATCGAACGACTGAATGTGCCGAGAGTCAATTATAGACGACTGCAATTGTAATTGTTCGCAAATTAATAACGTGAATTAGCTTTTTCTTTTCGAATGGAAATTTAATCGATTCATGAACGTTGGAACACTAGCGCCACGTGGCGGCGAAATTGTAGAGAATTAATCGCGTCACGTTATTATTATTACAAATTATAATAAAACTTTTTCACGCGGTTAACTTCTGTGTGTGAATACAGAAGCTAAAGCTGGCATTTTCAGTTACGTTATACAAACGTCTTCGAGCCAAATTCGAGACGTAGTTTGCGAGAAATTAAACGTTCATGTAAAAAGGATTTCGACGTATCGTGTCAAATTTTTGAAAATCTTTAAACAGAATGGACGAAGAAAATTCAGGATCTGAAATCTAAGAGATGATGCAACTGTTGATTAGCTTCTTTTGCAATTTCTAGTGTCAAAATATTTAAAAATGCCATTCAATGTCATTAAAGTGGCCATGGTTATCAATATTTTAGTTCTCGTGCATGTCGATAGGTGGCGTGTCTCTGTCAAAATAAGCTATTTCGTACCAATTGCATATGATCAATTACGTGAGAGATCGAGACAGTATCAGAGAAGCTTGTCCGTTAATTTGTTTCCTTACGCAACAGCTTAAATCTTTCGCCTACGGGCCAACAAATTTAATTTTTTTAATTCTATCACGAAGAAACTAATTCCACCATTTCGTCACAACGCGGCGCTAGTGTTTCAATATCGTAGGTACGATAAATTAATAAGGTCACCGTACTGCGAAAAGAAATTTCGCAGACTCTTTTGAAGTGAGTATATGATATACAGGATGTACTCAACGAATATATATATTGTTAAACAAAGTTGATTGCGGTCGATTATCTTACTCTGCTCTCTTCTATTACTCTCCAACTAACTAAATTCTCTTAACTAAATAATTAACTAATTCGACGACTATAAATATATAAATTCCTTCGTAATTGTTAAAAAGCTGGCTATCTTTCTGCGCTCTCTTAAAATTTTCGTGTTTCACAAAGTTGCCGCTGTTAATTCACCGGAAACGTACCTTTCGGCGGAACGATCGAGCGTAGGAAATAGGTGTCGCTGCTGACTAGGCTGAACGAAACTCGCTACATGTCAAATTTTCGTTTCCAAAGAAAGGTTAGCTCAGGAAACACTTGTGTCACGAGAAAAAAGAAAAAAAAAACAAACGAACAATCGTAAAATTGACAAATATGACGAAAGAGAAACAGAGAAATTAAACGCGTGTAGACAGGATTTGCTGTTTAACCAAACACGTCTCTGCCCTGAGAGGAACGAAAGAAATAAAGAAATATGCTGTCAGGAGAAGAAGAAACATTGTCGAAACGAGAAAAGTTAATTCTCACTCTGCGGTTTCTCAAGATATATTGGAAAATATTGTTTGCTGTAATTTGGGCTCTGCTTCTGATCCCTCCTCTTCTTGTTTTCAATTACAGGGTATCGAGTTTCAATTAATAGAACAGAATTTACATTTGCGTCAGATTTATATTGTACAAATAAATTTATATTTGTGACACAATTTGAAAAACGTGCATATCGTGTGTTTCACATTCCGAATAACTTTCGAATAATAATATCCACGGGTCGCTGAAATCTTATATATAACTTTTTGTTAGTTATTAATTGTCAGATATTTATTTTGTAGGAAACTAGATGCGCCTATGCCATATTGATCATGGCTGGATATTGGATCACAGAATGTTTCCCCATGGCGGTTACTTCGATAATTCCAGTGGTGTTATTTCCAGCATTTGGAGTGTTAAGCACGGCAGATACTTGTGCTTGTTACATGAATGATACTATAATGGTGTTCATAGGAGGTCTAATTCTTGCTATCGCGATCGAACACAGCAATTTACATCTACGAATCGCTCTTGGGGTGATGAAAACAGTTGGTTGTACTCATGGAAAATTGCTCGGTGGTCTTTGCGCCGTAACAGCTTTCATATCCATGTGGGTCTCGAATACTGCTGCAACCGCTATGATGGTACCAATCATATTTGCTGTTTTAAACGAATTAGAACAGGTTTAACGTCTCGATTCCCTTTTTTCTCTCTTCTTTTCGTTTTCTGGTTCTATTTTCATTCCCTTGTTCCTTTTAGGCTGGATACTGTCGTGTCTTTGACCAACTACCGGCACCTCCTGGATCTTTAGATCCGCCGTAAGATATATAAAATGAAGTAACATACGTAAATGAGTGTAAACGAAACAGAAATAAGTATAAAATTAGGGAATAAAATGAGAGAAGTGAAGGAAAGGAAGGGTGAGAAGGAAGGAAAGAAGAGCGGGAGGGAGAGAGGAAGAAAGTAAAGAAACAAATGATAATTTTCTGATTCTAACGTTACGTATCGTACGTAGGGAACAGCAACCGACAAGGATAACAACAGCTTATCTGCTAGCTGCAGCATACTGTTCAACCTTCGGAGGTACAGGGACGCTCGTAGGCACCGGTACTAACCTTACTTTCAAGGGCATTTTCGAAAGTATATTTCCCGATTCCGAAGGCATTAATTTTACGCAGTGGATGATCGCCTCGTTACCGCAAATGATTGTTAATACTTTTTTGACGTGGTTCTATCTTCGGGTAGTTTACATGGGTTACCTTAGACCTTACAGTGAAGATGCACAGGTAGCGAACATTGGAATCGAAGGAGAATTGGTTACGAATCAAGTAACGAGCAGTTGCAGATTTCTCAGACCGTTTACAGACCGCCAACTCGTTTCGTTTATTGAACCAATTTCAAAAACTGTTTAAAGGTGATAGAGCAAAGATACAAAGAATTGGGTAACGTTAGATTTCACGAAGGAGCAGTTGCCGGTCTTTTTCTTATCTGCATATTTTTATGGCTATTTCGAAAACCTGGCTTCGTAAAAGGTTGGGCCGAAGTGATAACGGAGATGTAAGATATTTCGTTTACGTACTTTTTATTCGTCCGCCATTGTTGAAAAATACGAAATTCATCGCGTATATTTAATCGATCCACAGAGATCTTCGAGATTCAGTGCCTGTCATATTCATATCTGTCATGATGTTTTTTATTCCGAAAGATTTTAATTTTCTTCGTAGCTGGAGCAAAGACCGTAAGTATGGAAGAAACAAATGAATGACCAACGGCTTTCCTGTACTTTCCTGTACAATACAATCTGTTTGTTTATTTATACGTCGCTTCTGTTCTTGTAGCTGCTGAAAGACCCTTCAAATCTTCGGAAGGTTTGATCACGTGGGACGTTATCCAAAGGAAAATGCCTTGGAGTTTAATGTTCCTTTTGGGCGGTGGATTCGCGATATCAAGGGGCAGTATGGCTTCCGGTTTGGCAAGAAAAATCGGTGAAACATTGGTACCGCTGCGCTACTTGCCTCCTTTTTTCATCATGTTGATTGTTTGTTTTTTTATTGGCACTATTACGGAGTTTACTTCAAACGTTGGAATCGCAAACATCACCTTACCAGTTATCGCACAGATGGTAAAGAGTTACTCAGACAAAACAACACCGTTATTCGGTACTTTACCACCAATTTAGTTGTTTGGTACACGATTGCTTTGTTACACAGTGCGTTGCGATGGAGATGCATCCAATGTATTTGATGGTACCGGCAACTATATCGTGTTCTTTCTCTTTCCGATTACCAGTCGGTACACCTCCGAATGCAATTGTATCAGTTGTTGGACGTATTCCGACTAAATCGCTGATGACGGGAGGTTGCGGTCCTTCCACTTATGGTCTCATAGTAAATTGCATTAACTTTGTCACATGGGGTATGTTCATTCATAACATTAGAGATTTCCCCGACTGGGCTACGAGCGGCTACGCACCCGTAGAAAAGAAGACGTGAAATTACGTGTATTTCATTTTTCTCTTTTTCAATTTATTTTCTTTTTCTCTCAATTTTCTTACGTTAAGTGATATATCATCGTATCTCGTTCATCTTTCTGTTGAATAAATATATACGCTGTTTAACTATATCTAACTGTTGAATTAAAATAGTATTCGTACGCGAGTAACGCGTATCATTCGTATCGTAGAGGACACGTTGTCTAACGTTGTCTAATTTAAATCACATTTATCTATCTATTCAGTTACATAGTATGAATATAAAGTATACAATTTTAATACTAAATACATATGTATATGTACAATTTTGATTACTAAACACGACAGACTTTAATTACTATACAAGTATTGAAATATATACGCAATTCGTTATAAATACATAAACGCGACGGCATCGATGAAACAATTAAGTCGGCTGTGTCTTTGATACAGGCGATTCAATCTTTTTTGGACTTGAATTAATTTCCTGTTGTTCCAATCTACGATGTCGCAACATGGTGGACAGTACACCGTTGAAACTTGCAGTTTTTTTCTTAGCGCTTCCTTTCGGAGTACTTTCTCCAGTTCTACGAACTGGTAATCTCGGCGACGACATCTCATCCATGAAATCAAAGTCTGACTTTTCTTCTGTCCTAAACAAAGAAACAAATGAAATGACCGGTGACGATATTGTGAAAATGATGACAAACTGTACTATATGTGTATGTGTGTGTCTGTGCGTGTGTACATGAGACAAAGTGGTTCATAGATAAATAAGGAAAATCGATTTTGATTGATTGAAAAGCATTGCTCTTGGGAGGCTGAGTGCTATAAGCCCTTAAAGTTGAATATTTCTTTTCAGTGTCTGTGCTTTGAATCTTTCTTTTTCACGTATATGCTTTAAAAAAAGATTACTACCATGCAGAATAATAGTCTCGAACATGCTAAATCGATTCCAAGTATCGCGTCACCAACATAATGGTGCAGAATAATTAATAATGATTACTCAAACACTTTGATGATTTTTACAATAATATTACGCTTATAATTTTTGTATACATACATACGTACATACGTACATATGGAATATGGAGTATAGAACTCCCGATATAATATATATTCGTAAAGCTTTTACAAATGTTCAAGTATTTTCGTAAGCCACAGTATGTGTAACATTTACTTGTACTCCTGCGAGCCATTATCTTGTTGTCGAATGTTTGTGGGAACAGGAGACGGACCTCTTCTACCTGGACACTTCCATTCCAATTCCAAAGTTCTGTTATTAGCTTCGAGGGCTTCGGTCAATGTTAATATGTCGTTAGGTTTCAGAGTCCATTCGTTCTAAACGAATGCAAGAATAAAAGGAAGAAAGCTGAACGAACTGAATAAACAAAACTCTATTGGTAAGTATTTCCTTCATCTTTTACTCACTTTTCCATCCATTTCGTACTTTTCGTCGTCAGAGCAGTCTATCGACCAATCTTCTTCGTTGCGCTCCATCTCTTATCACCTCCAAATCATATAAAAATCTCCAAATCGTGTTAACAATCGGTTAATTAATACAGACCGAGATGAACCTCGTACACGTGAGATCAGGTAAAGAACGATTCAACACTCGGATGAAAACATTCGGTTAACCTCTCAATAGGTTGGAATCGCAACGACGCCAATTGTAGTTACCAGTGACATTGCCAGTTATCACTCTTGATTCGAGCGCATAATTGTTACGAAGAGTACAAGAAACTTCGAAAACAGGTCTTCGTAATCATCGCATGATATATTAGACGAATAGACGATACAATGTTTTTCGTTTAAAATAATCGATCGGATCTGATCCTCGCTCAAGTTCTCAAGGGCTTAACGATGACACGAGGCACTTTGTGTTTGTCTGAATGCTTTGCACAGTGTACGATGGACATTTGTACAAAAAGAAACGTGACATTAAGTCGATGAAAAATGAAAAAAAAAAAAAAAAAAAAAAAAAGATCTACAAACGCGATACGACATAGATCGACTATCAACGCGAATGTTCTTTCCCATGATTTTCGCGCCACAATACCATCGTGTCGTGTCACAATGCCATTACGCTACGAATGTTTATTTATCGCAAATCGCAACGTTTCATCTTTGTTGATTCGAAGAAAGGAGCGCTTCGATGAAGCGAAACCTCAAATTCGCTTATTTGAGATGATGTTATTTTTCTTCGATCGCACGATGATCTTTTATTTCGTACCGTTTTCCACCTACGCGAAGGACAAACATTTTAATTTTATTTGATCGAACGAAGAACTGTAATTTAGTAAAAGTTGAAATAAATTAGTAGTTTAGTGAATAAATGATGGTACGTGCTAGACTTGAAAATGTATTTAAAGTCTCTCTTTTTCCCTCTCCCTCTCCCTCTGCCTCTCTCGCAGTGCACTCGCGCAAGTTTCTACATATAACCACACATTGTACGTAGCATGTGTATCCGTAAACACATGTTATGAACGCTCGCATCGATGATAACGTTAAATGCTCAAGAAAGAAATGTGTTTGTCGGCCAAGTCCACATCAGCGTGATACGTATCAACGATGATTACCTGTCAACAATTTGACAAGAATTAATGTATACAGTTGAGACTATAACACTTGATATAAAGTCCTTTAAACTGGATCGTGAAATCCAGAGAGAAAGAGAGATCGTGCCGCATTGAATGTAGTAAACATATATTTCCTTGTTCGCTGCAGCACACACACGCGCGCACGCACGCATGCACGCACGCACGCACACACTCAACACAGTTTAAAAATCATTTGGCATTTATTTCTACGGGAAGTGCGAGTGTACTGCAACGAGAGCTACTGTGCCGAGATTTCTACATTTTTATATCAATTTTATAATCAATTTTGTCCTATTTAATAATTTTCAAAGAGTTAAACGAAAATATGTAGGTGATGGAACGGCAATGTTTATTATTTCATCTTGATAAAATAAAGAACGTAATTTCAGTAAGTAATTTGTTTGTACATACGTAGAAATACGTAATATCGATAGAAACTTGTTTCTATTTCTGATTTGAACGATTGCGCGTAGAAAGGCAGTAGTAGGAAGTAGAAACAGATCGAATCAAATAATACGAGTAAATTGGAAAATCGATAGAAAAGTTGGAAGATGGAGTTGAAGTGGACAGACGAGAAACGAAAAGCTCCGTATGGCAACGATCTTTACCGAGCTATCTTTCCTATATATTATCTGGGTAAATTGTGTGGTTTAGTGCCAGTAAGGTTTTACGTACACGCTTCCGAAGGATGCCGGGCTCGTTTGAATGTCGTAGACCTTGTCTACAGGTAAGGAAGAACGAAGAAGAAAACGGTTAATCTATACGTATCGAGGCTGCCTCGGTGGAAAATCGAATAAAACTTTGTCAGTTTCGTGTTTGCCAGATCGTTCTGAATCTACGGTCGTGTACACGTATGAAAGACGCGGAGGACACACAGATGAGAAGAGAATTCAAATTGTTAGATCCAAAAGACCGTGGCTTTTTACGCATTTGTGCGTAACCACCGGAGAACTAGAATACAAAAATGCGCGCACAATGTATATAATATGTATACACGCGAGAGTAGAGTATATATCTACTATAAGTTGTGCATAGTTGTGTTGTTGTGTCATGTTGGGGCTTGCTTCAAAAGCAAATCTAGCTGTCAAAAGGGATAATAACTGACGTAATAATTTCACCTAATCTTTATATAAGCAGGAATGTGATATACGCATACGCATGTGTGTGTATATGAAATTTGTTTTTTGATAAATACGTAAATAGAAGAAACTATTTCGCCATAGAGCGGACACTAATAAAGCGTGTTGATAAAGTTATTTGACTTTCGATCGGCGCAATTTGTCTCTATTGGGAATAGGATATGTAAATATTTGACGATGAATGCACGATGCACGTGGTGCGTGCGTACTTATTTTTTTGTATTTTTAGTCTGTGCGTGCTGGCATTGCTTCTGGGCGGTGAAATTTGGGGCTTGTGGCGAGATCTGAAAGATGGTTGGGAGCATAGTACCAGACTGAAATCTGAAACAGCGGTGATCGCGACGTGTAGCGACGTGCTTGGGGTAATGGGCTTAACGGTCGTTTGTATCGTTGGCTCTCCTTTCCGATGGAAATACCTGCAACTGGTCATAAACAAATTAATCGAGGTGCGACGAGTCATTTTCATGTTGTGCAAGTTTCTTCGGTGTCGTTTAGACTTGGATTAAAGGGCAGGGTGTATGTATGTATACTTCGTATTTTCACTTCGCACACAGGTAGATGGAAAGATCGGTGTGTCGCGTCCAAAGAGAGCTCGAAGATTCACGATTTGTTTAACGATATGCAGCCTCGCTTATCTCTGGTTCAACTCGATTATAGACTTCTACACGTGGAATGGTAGAACAAAGAACAAAATGATAACTGACAAAGGCCCGATTAACTATGCACCTTTGTACTTGATGTACACTGTAATCATTTGCACGGAAATCCAGTACACTGTGGCAACGTACAACGTGGGACGAAGATTCGTCCGCTTGAACGATAATCTGAAAAGTTTGTTGGATGCGAGTAGCGGCAGCAACGATAACGCGATCGGTTATTTTCGGAAATTTTCTGAAACAGGTAAGCAAAGGTACCGTGGTAAGTTGATGATAAATGTGAAATGAAACTTC